TAAACGAATAAAATGTAATTTTTAAGAAGTGTCAAACCAGAATAAAACTAAATAGTTTATCAATGAAAATTCAAATTCTTACTAATGGATTACAATTACCTTATGGATTGTAATGAGTGCAATGGAGCCTCTAAGACACTTGCACTCTTCAGTTACAATAATGAGCAGAAAGTATGATATTTTGAAGATATGGGTAACCTATCTAATTACAAGCATTATCAACCTAGTAATGTTTAACTATTGTTAAAGTGAATATTATGATATACAGCACATATGAAGTAAGGTAGTTTCTTGCTGCTTGGGCACTTACTCTGCCTGCTGCCTGCTAGCAAAATGCTCTAACCATGAACAACATACCCAACCCCTAGGCAGACGTTTACAAAACATCAACTACTTGAGTTTGCATGGGTGTTGTGCATGCTGACACCATTGCTGTAAGTTCATATGAAAAGGATCCAAGGAGCCTGTAAGTCTCTTATTTCCATATGGTCATGTACCTCCATGTAAAATTGATCAGACAAAAACCCAGGATAGAACTTGGGAAATGGGCAGCAGGCCCCAATCTTAGCTGAAGGACTATTGGCAGGTGATTATTGCTGGGCGTGGAAGAGTTGATACTCTTTAAAAGAGAGACTCCACATTGTGGAGAGTCTGGAATGCTGCAGGCCCAGAGCCCAATTGCAGGTTGTCTTTAGCATCCTAAATAGTCATTCCTTGCCCAGCCCCATGTCTCACCTAACATCCTGTGACTAACACATCAAAGTTTTTGGAGTGTATTAACAAAACCCTAGTTTCCACCAACCAAGAAGGTAAAAAGCATCATCAAGTAGCATGTGAGGGACACAGATGAGATTTACCTGCTCTACTGTAACCTGCTCACCTAATGTTTCAGCAATGTATTTGACTTTTGTTGTTGTTTTGAGACAGGTAGCCCTGGCTGGTCTGAACCTCCCTACGTAGACCAGGCTGGCCTCAATCTTGCAGAGAGCTACCTGGCACTGCCCCCCCTGTTTGTAACCCCAGCTCCAGGGGACTCCAACACCTTTTTCTGATCTCTGTGGGCATTGCACGACACAGGTACACTTACACACATTCAGGGAATTCACTCATACACATAAAATAAAAATAAGAAATAAAATATTTTTAAAAATCAAATACAAATTTAAAAATCTAATGTGGAATTTCTGGAATTGATATCTGCTTGGAGAGGGAGAGTCATTTTTCTTTAAGGGTGTGACTCCTGGTAGACTGACCAGGATTCAAGGGATGGACCCTCACCCAAGAGCATCTGGGAACACGGATTAAACTCATTGGACCTTGAACACAGAAAAAAAATAACGGAGGACATGAAGTTAGGGGAGTAGTAAGTTGAGTTAAATGGGCCAAGTGGGTCTGAATATGATTAATATAAATTGTATGAAAATCTCAGAGAATAAATAAAAATGTTTTTCAAAAACCCAACGGTTTATCACTGCAAATCCAAAATTAGTTCGATATGGATTATAGTTAGCATAATGAAGCCAGTAATTCACTTGCATTTTCAAGTAACATAAAAGAAGTAAAATAATGTAATTTTTTGAGACATGGTCTCACTGTAGCCCCAGCTTCCCTGCGATTCACTTATGTAGAACAGGTTGACCTCCATCTCACAGAGATCTGCCTGCCTCTGCCTCCCAAGTGCCAGGATTAAAGGTATGTACCACCACAGCCAGCAGTATGTATAAGCTATCCAACTACAGCCATTATTGATTTAATGAGGCTTAAATACACCTTGAAGGCAATATGATGAAGAACAGTATGCATGAAGCACAGCAACATTTTCATGCTGGGACTCTCAACTCTGCTCCTTGCATGTGAGCAAGGTGTTCTAACGCTGAGCAACACCCCCACCCCTAAGCAAGAGCTAGTAAAATACCACTACTAAGTTCTAAAATTTAATCCCATTGTCAAGAAATTATGAAAAAGATTCTGATAAATTACTATAAAACCATCCTGAAAACACTAAAATCTTTATCACAATATACAACAAACAAGAGTTGTATGTTCAAATACTTATAGGGTCAAAGTAGGTAATATCAAGAAGTACAAGAGGGTTCTGTAGCAAGCTGACTGTATGCTGTCTCAGAACAAGCACCATAACATGACATGGCTCAAAGGACACTGGATTCAGTCCTATGAGGACAACTGCAAATCCAGATTGTTCAAGTCTTGGCAAGTTTAAATGATGATTCAGTTGATGGAAGCAACTAAGTTGTGTCATCATGAGTCCACATTAGTCTTTTCTGTCAGTGTGTTTCCAAATGATTTTGAACAAAGCAAATATCATTTGCATGTGAGATAATTTTTCCTCTCCATATCTTTTATTAAAGCCATAAATGCACATAAAAGAGTCATAAAATGCCTGTGAAGGATTTTCAGCCATTTGTTATTTCTATTAAAATTTCCCAGCATGTTGATTGGATGAATTACCTCTATAGGAAATCTACAGTTGAATTCTTAAAATGATTCCCACTGCTGTTTACTGAGTGTACACTGTTTGGATTTCAGGATGTAATACTATCAGGCTGAGGACACCACAACCCTATGAACTTAGCAGACATTCTGAGATTGACTACAACCCAGCTTCAACTAAAAGAAGTTGATGATTTGATATTTCCGTTGGATTTCTACCTAAGACCTCAGTGATAATAGTCATGAGATACTCCAAAGACTATGACTGTCAGTGAATTGTTTTAATGAAAATGGTGTTACATTTTAAACAGATCCAAATGGAAACTGACATGCATTTAGCTGTCTAACCACAGAAAAAGAGAAAGAAGAAGAGAAGAGAGAAGAAGAGAGCCTAATATCAGGAAGGAGAGATGGAGATGGGGACTAGCTAAGGACACTTCTCCTCGAGATGTCTAAAGTGGTTGAGATCTGGGTGTTCACATATTGCTGTGATCTAACCAGTTGTTAATGTCTAGGGGTTGTATTAGAACCCAGAGTAAATATTTTTCGATATCTATATCCAGGTCTTATTAGATCTACTGAATTGAGCTGTGCAGAGGAGCACTTGGACTTGGATTTCTCAGATTTAATCAGGACACATTGTCGCACAGTCTATTGGGAACTAGAGTGGTCACAGCATCTCTTCAGTCCTGTACCTCACCCGCATGTCCTCTCCCTTCTGCACTCGGGTTCTCACCCAAAGGGGAAACAGTCACACAGAGTCACTGGCTGACAACGCCATATAATGTCTCACAGAACAGGGAGCAGTCACTTCAGATGCACCTTTATTTCACTGCATAAAATTGCAAACTAGAGTATCTTCTTCCCAGAAAAACACTGGAAACTTGAGTTTAGCCTCTGGAGTAGCTATTTCTGCCAGAAAAGGAAGTCACTGCATTTCTTGTTATTCCCTGCGATTTTGCACTTCCTGCCACCTAGTCACTGTCTACCTTATGTCCTCAGAGTCCCTGTGCTATTGCTTCCATGGCATGGTTACAAATCAATAATATTCTTTCTCAAATAATAATTATTGTCTCCCCAACTGAAGAACAACTACTTGCCACACATAAGCAAAAACAAGTGACAAAAGTATCATGTTTTCTAACCCATTATAGGAAATTATCTATTTTTATATTTTGAATGAATATGCATGATTTACATTTGCATGAATTACCTCCTCGGAGAAAAGTTCACAGGTTGTTTTTTGCAGGATGTCATTTGGGTGGATTGCATATCAGAAACAGTGTAAGTTGCATTCATTGTGTCAAATAACTAAAGACGTGATTATATGAATTCAGCTTCTTTCCAAACAAGAGAGGCTAACAGATAAATCTTGGGAGGCAAGGATTGCCCAAAAAAGGCACAGAAACCTACTTCACAGTAAAAATGTAACTGTACCTACATGGCAGCTAGCGACCATCTCTTAAGTCCAGTTCCAGGAGAATCTGATGCCCTTTTCTGTCCACTGGGGGCACTGCATATCATGGGTGCACTTACATACATTCAGGCAATACACTCATACACATAAAATAAAAATAATACAATATTTTTTAGAAGTGTAAGTAAATCAGCCAATAATGGAGACAAAATGGTCACAAATACCAAAACTAGATACATGTTCTGTGAGAAAATATTCAAAGCAAGATAGAATCATTTTTAAGATATAATGTATGTATATATATATGAATGTATATATATATATATATGTTTTTTTCTTGCTTCCATGAGTTTATAAGGTGAAAATTAACAAAAGATATGATTAATTGAGTTGTGGGTTTTAGATAGTTCAGTGTTAAGAAGAATTTTATAGTGACTATAATTTCAAGAATTAAAAAAGTTACTGACCAGCTAAACTTATACTCTATAGGTGTTCCTCCAACTGCCTTTTGACCTTTCATTCATAGCTCCAACATGGGGTAGCCAAGGGGAATTAAAGATGAGAACTATTTTATTTACAGTGCAGAATTTCAGCTAGAAGAGCTGTTAGCAATAGCCACTTTAGCCCCCTTTTCCCACTTAGTAAAGTGAGACCCATCATTTTTAAGACTTGAATATAGCAGTCACATATTGAGCATCATATCTTTTTTTAAAAAATATTTTTATTTTATGTGTATGAGTGTATTGCCTGCATATATGTAAGTACCCCATGTATGATGCGCAATGCCTGCAGAGGTCAGAAGATAGTGTCGGATCCCTGGAACGTGAGTTACACAGACAGTTGTTTGTCTCCATGTGGTTACTGGGATTCGAACCTGGCTCTTCTGCAAGAGCAGCCTGTGCTTTTAACCACTGAGCCATCTCTCCAGCCCCACAGGCATTCTCTCATGCAGCTAACACTACTTCAAACTATTTACTACTCACTTGGAACTTATCAAAGTAATAAATAATTCTAAATCGACAAAATGTTTTTTTTGTGATCAATTTTTCATACAAAACTATGGTAGAGAGAATCAAAGCTACAAACCAAAGTTTCACAAAGGAGCATTTTCACCTTGTTACTACAACTGCTGTTGTTAGTACAACTACTGTCATTATCATTTGTTGGAGGCCCAGCAACATCAGGAGCAGGACTTTTGGAGAACCTTTGGAGTAAAAATATAATAATGGGTGAGTTTGGTTATTTTAACAACTCTGGTGAAAATTTAGTCATCTGTATTTTAAGAGACATTTCTGCATTTACATAATTAACAGTTAGGCTGTGTTTTCAAGCTTTGGCTAGCTCTGTAAGTTTTAACATCTCAATCTATGAACATTTATGAAGACTCACTTGTAGCTACATACAAAAGTGCAACAGCCAGCAGCTGGGGGAGAGAAAGCTCAGTAGATAAAAATGCTTGCTGCACAAAAAAGGGGACCTAAGTTTGAATCCTTAGTACCCACATAAAATGTTGCATGCACCTTCTGTCCCAGTGCTGTTGAGTGGCAGAGGAAGGAGAATGTACTTGTTAGCTGCCAGTCTAGCTCCAGGTTCAATGAGAAACTCTATCTCAAGTGATAATGTGGAGCATGACAAAATTACCTAGTATCGTCCTCTGGCCTTCAGGCAAGCACAGAGGCATCTCCATCACAGAGTTGGAGCAGGGGACACCATATTGGCAGAGACTGAAAATGATTTATCTGCACAAATTGCCTGTCTTGAAGGATAAACTGAAAATTCCATAATGTGTTGGGTCTCTCCCTTTCCTCATGGGTCATTGGCCACTGGTCCACAAGGACAAAGGGAGCAGAAGTGACGAATGGGGTCAGGATGGCCAGTGAGCACTGATGGAAGAAAGCCCTTTTTGGGGAGGCAGGTTCAGTGATACAAACAGCTCCAGACTCAGTGAAACAGCTCCAGATTCAGTGAAAACAGATCCGTTTATTCAGTGGGGGTCAGGGAAAATATAGTGTGGAGACAGCAGCCAATGCTTCAGCTGATAGGTGCTCATAGTATGCTTTATTTACATGTGGTAGGGTCTCCTATCATCTGGGGTAGTTTTTACTCTAGGTAACTATGCCAACGGTCATGTTCCAAATAAGGTCAGGCATCCGTGCTTGGTGGCACTTTCCAGGTAAGTCAGGCAGAGAGCAGGAGGCCCCCTGCTGAGAAGGGGAGTCCTTCCATATAGCGCTGAGCCCCTTAGAGCTATCTGGACATGGAGGAGAACTACAACCCTAGCAGCAGTAAGAACAGATGAAATTATGAAATCTGCAGGTAAATGGATGGAACTAGAGAGTGTCATACTAAGTGAAGTCATACCAGTGCAGAAAAGAAGAACTTACGTTCTGGTTTGCACATTGTAGCAAGAATTTATCCCTTTTATGTGAGTATATATATTCTGATGTAACAGCAGGGGCAAGGAACATGGAAAGGATACACAGAGGTAAAGGAAAAGAAACAACCCAGAAGAGGGGGATAGTAGGGAACAGATGTTACCAGGGGGGACATGGGGAAAGTGGGAATGTTCAGTAGGGAAGAGAGGAGGGAGGGATGTGCAACAGACCAAGATATTTGCGTGTGGGAAGTAAGTCAGAAGATGGGGACAGTTGGAGGTGGGTGTTACTGGGGGAGGGTGGGGATAAACAGGGCACTGGGACTGGGGATGGAAGAGGGAGGCCAGATGGAAAGAACAAGAGTAGAGATGAATGAATCTTGGGGGAGGGGGGGCTAGGAAACCCAGAGGGAAATGTGATATCCCTGAAACCCCATGTGAAATGCCCATACAGTGTCTGAATTTTAGTTCATATGTATACTTGGGAACTGGGAACTTGGCAAGGAACACAGTGCCAAACAGAAGAGACATCCCTTTGAGTGGTTGGTGAGAGTGGTCCAGGAGAATCCCAAAATAACACAGGCTATTGCAAAACCTCTTGGTTATCTCCCAATACTAGTTGATAAGACCCTACTGCTGAAGATGGGACATGCTTTGGATACAGGACATGAGACAATGGAACAGGACTGGAGGCCTTCTACCTGAAGTTTAGCTATCATAATGCTAGATGATAATGTGCAAACTGCCAAGGAAGAAAAACAATCAATGGTCCAACCCATCCCTAAACCCTAATAACCATAACAACCAGCATGGCGAACTATCTCTATGTGCAGTAGTGGCAGTGTTAGCTCGGGGGGGAGGGGTGGCAATCAACAGCTATCTAATTGGACTTAAAGCCCTCTCAGTGGGAGGGAACACACATAGCAGGTGAAAACATAGATCCTAGAGAAAATGCTATCTCATAACTGTGAACAAATGACATTTCTTGTCATAAACTAAATATGGATCCTTATATTTACAATCAAGCATACCATATAACTAACCCATCAAATAAGCTTCTTTTTAACAGATAGGGGCAACTGTAGAATTCTACAACCGGTCAGACACAGAGAATATAGGTCGTCTGATGCCAAGTACTAGGTGACACATATATGGTTGAACTTCTGCACCTAAGTCTCATGTAACTTAGCAGAACAAGGGGTAGAGAGAAAATGAATGCATCCCTCAACTCTCACCAGTAAAGCTCCCTTATACAACAGACTTCAGTGCACACAGATGACTACAACTGGCCAAGTTTTAAAGAATAAGAGACTGCAGAGTGTATATCCTTGGATGGGGACTCCTATATTGAACCCCAGATGCCTACAGCTCAAGGGAAATTGTGGAAAAGGAGGTGGAAAGATCGTAAGAGCCAAGGATGGTTCATGAATGCAGGGAAGCAGAGGCTTACAAGTCACTGGAAGCTTGTACATGTGAACTTGTGGCATGGAGGTATTGAGCACAGGACCCATGCCTACTCAATTAAAGAAGGGCCTAGAGGGGATGAGACAAATGCATGGCAGATCAGTCCTAGACTGAGAGCTATTGGAGACTGACTGATGTTAAATGAAGAGTGGTATGCCTTATATATGATCTCTAGATGGGTTGACTAGACTCCAGTGAACAAATTTACACTGAAGGACATCTGGGTACAAATGCTTGAATGAATGGGACTTACTTAACATGTATGACAATTACACGAGGTCCAGTTGGGGGTTGGGGGACATGGATGGGGGTTTTAAATTTGTGTATGCAGTGTTGTATAAAATTACAAAAGCTCAATAAAAAAATTCTTAAAGATCCGGTGTCCAAGAAACTAGGTCTGTTCTGTTTCTAAACATGATCTGTTCGCTTAAAAGGATCCCAAAGCATACATGTTGGCATAAAAGAAAAGAGAGGCCTCAAAAACATCACATGTACATCTAGGCTCACATGTGGACTCCACAAAAGGTTTTGAATAGGCAGGTACAGTCAATCTGCCACCAATGTGTGTGGATAACACTAGGAGGTTCATCTGTTAAAGCAGAGAGCTAACATTTTGAAACAATCACTGATGGTTCTTAAAAAGTGAGAGAATAAAGCAATTTTCAGTATAAAATGTATTTGATTATATTGTGATGACTGTGAGAAACAGCAAGCATTAAGCACAATGCCGCTATATCAGTGTATACTTTACAGTTATTAATTTCTATCAGTACATTCTCCAACAACTTATTTTAAAATATACACACTCTTGGGGCTGGAGAGATGCTCAGAGGTAAGAACACTGATTGTTCTTGCAGAAGACCCAAGCTCAAATCCCAGCACCCACATGGCAGCTAACAACTGTGCCTAACTCCAATTCCAGGGAATCTGACAGCCTCTTCTGTCCTCCCTGGGGAACTGCATGGCAAGGGTGCACTTACCTACATGCAGGCATAACACTCATACACATGAAATAAATGATAAATAAAATATTTAAAAAATATGAACTCTTACCTGAATAAAGACTTTGATGTTGTATTTATGTCTTCCCCTTTTAAAAAAAAGGCAAAATGTGGTTTATTGAAACTATAAAAGCATAACACATTAAATCGAGGAGACAAATGTTTTGTTGGTTTGAATGCATTTGAGACATCCAGGATGCAATTCTATAGTCGGTATTCATTAACAGACAAGAACAAATTTAAGTTCCTCCAGCTACTAAGCTCAAATTGCCCAGCTTAAAATGAAACTCCATGAGGCAAGGAAGCTCCAGAGGAGCCGAGTTCAAATCCCAGCAACCATATCGATGGCTCAAAACTGCCTGTATTTCTAGCTTTTCGGGGAACCAACACCTCTTGCTTCCACTCACATGTACATACCTCTCATATTTACAAGAAATTAATTTTAATAAGCTAAAGGGAAAAAGGTGCTGGTGGTATAGCTACTATGGACAACAATTGCTTAGAGTGCCTCCAAAGACCAGTGTTCAGTGCCTATAGCACTCCCAACAACAACAACTACGATTATTTAAAATGTAGTCATTAACCATACTGCAAGATACTGAATGCTGTTGTCACCTTCAAATGGGAGTTGATCAAACGTAAAAGTAACAGAGTATGTGAAAACTGTCCAAACTGAGAAACTGTAGAAAGCAAAAAACCGGAGAACTTTAATTATATTATTAGCGATAAAAATGAAAACCATTAAATACTCTATCTTATGTCTGTGAAAAATTGTTTTTCAGTAACTTTGAACTGTGTAATGATTATCATATGTACAATGCATGTGTAACAAAAATGGAAAAAAAACATATATAAGTCAATATCCTAGGATGTGAGTATAGAGGACAAAAACTATGTATCATAT